TGATGCTATCACTAAGTCATAGAATTCAAAATCAGCAGAAGAATCAAAGTTACCGATATATATAAGACTAAAGATATATATATATATATATATATATATATATATATATATATATATATATATATATATATATATATATATATATATATAGATAAGTTGAAGTGGCAATAAGCGAACCATATACGTAGCTCGAAGAACTTATAATCGATGAGGAAGAAAGGAAGAAAGCAGTGCAGGATGTCCCATTCCTATAAGATATAGTATATGTTATACAGTAGTAGACAATAATATACTAAAATGTTAATAATAACAAGTCCTAAGATTATTTTTTGTTGTCACTGATATTCTATATATTTTTTATCCAATACAATTTCGAATCTAAGATTTAAAAACCCGAAAGGGGTAGTAAAAAGCTCGAATGATTGCAGTCTTATACTGTTTACACCTAACTTGCGGTATTAAACTCGTTCCACAACCAGTCTCTTTGTATAGCGATAAAATAAAAGTACACACCTACTAGGCACGTGCTCGCCTATTTCAGATTAACACTATTGTATAGAATAAGCAAAATCTAGGCATTCTCTTACGCAAACGAACAATAAAGGTGGTATTGTTGCCCCATTGGATTGCGGGTAGAAAGCTTACAAAGCATAATAATTATAATAATTGTAACACCGCGTTTGAGTTCATATTCTATATCTAGTTTCTATACTAAATATAGTCCATTTATAGGTTTCGTATCTTACCATATTTCTGTATTTATAAATGCAGAAATTGATTACTTATATATAAATTTTGAACAAAATTTTCATTGTATTTAAAATATCAAAAAAACCTGTGGAAGACCGTCGCCTATAAACATGATCAGCCTCGTAGACATAGTAGAAAGCCTAGTATCCCTCATGAGTGGCATTCCGGAGAACTAGGGTCTTATGATTTCTGATGATGATGTAATTTATTTTACTGCCATATCACATTCTTCCTTATACAACAATCAACATTCCAAAGCCAAGCTTAGATTTTGTTTAGACATATAAAAATCTCGTATCACAATGCTCCTTCCTCCCGCCAGACGTGGGGATCCCGTACAGACAAACACAGTGCAGGACGACTCTCCACTAAATGGAGTGACGATCTCAAATATATTGCACGAAATCAGTGGATACAGGTGGCTCAGGACCGTTCCTTATGGTAGTCTATGGGGGAGACGTATGTTCAGCAGTGAACAGATAATGGCTGAATTAATGATGATGATGATGAATGCTCATTCACGCTAATCTCCGAAAATGCTCAACCAATATTACCTATTAAAATTTAATAAATATGCATTGCTTACTTCAACTTGAGAAATAGTTTATACCCAGTAAGAGAAAAATAGACTCAGTAGGTAACGATAGGATAAAAACAGCATTAGCCAGGTCAGCTACTATTCATATAAAAGTGACAATCTGAAACTGTTTGTAAATAAATCAAATAAAGATTATTTCTGTTCTATTCCATTATTATTATAAATACTCTTCTTCATCTTAAACATGGCTTCATGAAAAATGAAATTCTTTTATTTTTTTTTACGTATATACAAGATAAAATGCTGAGTTTAATTTGTGTTGGTAGTTCAATAATTATCTCATACTAATTATCGATTTTTTTTATAATTTGTTTTTCTCTGTACTTCAAGTAATTGGTATCTACTCAATTATCATTAATACGTCTTATACATTTAAGATTAGTGGGTTTAAGACAAGTCAAGGTAAAGTATTCTAAGAAATAGAGGACAAGTGATAAGACGTATGTAAATTAGATCAACTACACACATCGCTGACTTATGTTTTATTAATGTAGTTTATTTTGATAGCGTGGTACTATGGTACCCACTGCTAAATTGTATGCAACTGGGTTAGATTATAGATATATGTATACAATGGATGATTATAGTTTTATCACATTAATTATTATTACAACATGTTATATTATTTATTCATTATAGTATTTATTTAAAAGCCATTGATCACTAATTACGAAATATATTTCGTTTATAAATTATAATTAATATCGTAACAAAGATAAAAGTGTAAACTAATAAGGAAAACGAGCAAATTAATAGTATTTTTTATGCAACTTAGAATGGCAAACAAGCTGACGGCCCATCTGATGGAATGTGGTAACCATAGCCTATAGACATGAGCAGTATCATGGACAAAACAGAGTATACTGTTTCGCCCATCATACCTCCCATGCGTTGCTGTTCCTGAGGACTCAGGTGTTATTCCTCTGTACTCTGTAAGTTCACAGCCACATCCCACCCTTCAAAACCAAATACAGCCATGCAAACAACTGATTCACGATAGAAACACGAAAGGGACAGAGGTGTCCAAGCAAACGACTTTTGTACAAAGTCTCCCTCTGGTTATACAATTATACATTCATATGGACTCAGTATTTATCGATTGTTAAAAGTTTCAAACATTGTACTTTATTTATGATAAGAGTAATTGAATTGACTTGTGCTAATTTTTTGATAGAGAAACCTTCGAAACTATTCAAGCATTCTCTTCGATAATAAAAGATTTATTCCCAAAAAAAATTGACTTCAATTGTGACAACACTAGTTATTTTGATTTAAAAACTAAATTACTGAAACGATTTTGATAAAAGTTCTATGAGACCAAACTGTAAGTGTATCCTTATATCCTTTTACGTAGAAAAAGAATTTTCAAAATTGCTTTTAAAATTACAGAGTTATGAGGTAACAAACAAAGAAAAATACATACGAATTGAGAATCTCCTTCTTTCTGCAGTTTGTTTTATGTGTAATGAATTAATATAGTTATTTTTACAATTGAATATTTTTACATAAATTGGTAGGAAAGTACCAGTTTTTAGATTGCCATAATATTGCTGATTGACGAATGCCGTAGGCTAATAGTACCGTTGTTTTGCATAAAATAGGTCTCAGGTTCGGTTCGAGGTCAGATTAATTTTAAATGTAATTGGTTCGAGTCTAGGTAACATGAGTTGTACCCTAGATGTCTGTTATTTGGTTTCTCGTTACACAGAATATGAGATCCAGTCATTTGGTGAGATTTATTAGCTCATCTGAGTTAACAATTTCAACAACATATTCACAACTTTATGTCAAACAACTCTTGTGAAATGCAGTTGATTCAAAGAGTATTTATTGTCCCGGATCAGACAGAACCTAGTGAACCTATTCAACTGGATTTAAACTTGGAGTCTTCCAAATTTAAATGGATAATCACTAAATAAATAAGACACCCTTTATTATAAAGCATAAAAGAAACATGAATAATGGATACAAATACTGTGCTTTTAATTTTTTTGATCCAAGTTAGTTTAACAAAACTGGTTGGAATTTTGGACTAAATTTCAAAAATTGCATATCATGTAGTACTTTCCAAAGTTTGCTATCAATATATAGTATGTATTCTAAATCATTAACATTATTTTCATCATCGTCATCATCATCATTATTATCATTTTAACCGTCTATTGTTCATTGCTGAACATATAACCTAAAAGAGGGGTTTTGCTTTTTATTTTAACATTATTTTACGAATGAGTATTTTACTCGCAAAACTGAACCATTTATCCATAGGTATAAAAAAATTTTAGCCTCTCATACCAACTTGACAGCTGGACGCGTCGTGTTAATATAAGAGGCTCAAAAAGTTTTATTATTTTTTTGACTTATGTTTCTTTGGAATAAAATTTAATTTTACTGATTTCGATTTCATTCTGTGTATATTTTCAATCAACTTCAAAAAGAAGGGGTTTCCTAATTAGTATATTTTTTATATTTGTCACCTCCTAACTCTCTCAGTTGTAAATTGAATCGGAAAATCATTTCAGACAAAAAATCATACTTATAATGAAGTATATCACACTTAGTGATTGGTTCCATTGAAATTTTATCAAAATCAGTTTAATAATTTTTAAATCAAAATTACTGGTCCTGTCCCAATTGAAGTCGGTTTTGTTTTTGTGAAACACAATTTTAATTATTAAAATATGAGAGACTAAATTTTACCTCCAACTTTTCATTTTTAGTAAAGAAAAAAGGAAACCCTTATTTTTCAGATTACTATAAGTAGATACTTGTGTTATCTATTTCCATCTATGTGTATCTATGAAATTATATCTATGACAGTTTTTTCAAATCTCAATGTCGTCATGTTAACAAGCATCTCGGTAATTACTAATTTCATTCTTGGCTTTAGCAAACCTGCAGTACAATAATGTACAAATGACTCATAAGGCGTCGTAACATCTGAAAGCTTTGCATATTGTTCGGGCTTTCGCCCCATTATCTAGGCATCTGGCGCGAAGACAATGGCGCACGCATGCGCAATGCGTTATCTCACATCTAGGTACCTCTTGCCTCACTGCTCTCCTAATGAGAAACGTTGTTCCATTTCCAGAGCTATGTGCTAATTGAAACTGAACACAAATCGGGATGCTGTGAAATTTCGTATACACTAATTGCGGCTAATTGAATTTCTTTTGCGATATAATGCATACGTGAGTACTTGCAACAGACGAATTTATGAAAATAGAAGCAACAACAATGTATGTAGGATATATTTCGTTGGCGCTCAGTTCTCTCTGCCTGTCTTGTAAAAGATCGAGATAAAATTTGAATTCAAACAATCCAGTGATAGAATATCATGTGACTTGCTTGTGTAAATCGAATATCACTGTCTTTCCTGCAGTAGGTAAACGAACATTGCGTGCCTTGTTGTATTTTGATCGAAAAGGTCAAATAACAAGCAGTATTTAACACTTAGTTCTCAGGACTAGTAAAGCGTGAAAACTAATATTTATTTACTGTAATATTTATTTATTTTTAGAAAAATATCCATGATATTGTTCATGTTCATAGCTAGAGTTTCTACTACCTATCAAATACACTCTGATTGTTTACAATTTGCTATAGTGTAAAAAAGATATATCAGTATAAATTGAGGATTGTTTTTTTTCAGGTATATCGTCAATTACGAAGTCAGTGCTTCCCAAAGGATGAGGTGTAAGCATCATTGGGAACGATGTATCGGTCCGATATTAAAATCAACAGGTGAGTGATTATATTAATTCAATGTAATAATAACATATAATTTCATATGACGTTAACTATAATTTAATGAATATACATATATCGTACTTATGCTGTTGTTGCCCTGTAATCCCAGCATAGACTGGGTCACCCCTTCCTTTGTAGTGGATATTGTAAGACGCAAATAAGGGACTTGGTTGATGGATGGGCAGCAGCGCCCATTTTTAAAACATCACTAAAAACTAACTGCGATTGCGAACCCACCTGCTAAGCGTGGTAATTACTGGCAAAACTCCTTATCAGGAAGGCCTATGTTCAGCAGTGGATAGTTAACAGCTGATCTACTTGTAGTAGAGAGAAAAACTCATAAAATATCGAGGGGAAAAATTGTTATAAATGAAATTTCAATTATTTGAACCTTGCTTCAACCTAAATCTTGCCATCATTTTCTCATACGCAAATACCCGTATTTGAAGTTCGGTACTTCGTACAATGCATTGCGCACAGTGCACCCACGTCCCGCTGCATATAATTTCTAGATTTAAATGTCCCTTGCGAAATCTAGTCGGGGTATGGTGATAAATAATGGACAGATTACTCGGGCCGCACTATACGTAACATACGCGGTGACATTTGCATGCTGTGGACATATTTATAGGGCATTGTTAGCGATGCCGGGGTATTTAGTGAAATGGTTATGATCAATTATGCCCTCACACTCTAAACATCGTTTTCATGTTGACATCTAAACTAATGTAATGTTTATAGCAAAAAAGAAAATTGCTCTATATTTCATACTTCTAAATAATAAAATTAATCTATTAAAATTTTATAATATTTGCAGCTTATACATAACATAATATACCGTAATATTTGTAAGCTATGAATATATGTATAGGGAATTGTTAGTGATACTAATATATATAAATATATATGTGTGTGTGTGTGTGTGTGTGTGTGTGTGTGTGTATGTGTGTGAAATACCATTAATATAATTTTGTATGTAAGCACACTAGCGTAACAACATTGATATAGTTTTTACTGTCATAATGTTGTTATTATTTAGATGAATAAATAATCTATGTAATAAACGCAATATTAACAACAGTAAGCCAGGACCAAAATGATACAAGTGATAAAAGATAGATAAGCTTGAAAAGATAAAGAGCAGGCCTATGTGCAAAATGTTTAGAATGGAATAGTATATTGTCGGACATTTATATATCTATGTAAGATATAAAAATGTCCAACAATGTACTGTCTATAATTTATATTTTTAGTTTATCGCCAATTCTATAATTATCATTATTTAATTTCATAAATAAGTAAATTTTAATAGCATTTAATTAAATTTAATAGCGTTAATAGCATTTAATTTAATCTCAGCATTACTTAGTGTAATATTATTATACATAGTAATAAACAGACACAAACATTACGTTGTGCATAATTCAAAAATTATGACAATTTATAATCAAACATACATATTTAAGGTGACTCAGCGTTCAGTGTTTAGTAAATTTGTGTAATTTAATTTAACGAGTTAGGGCGCTTTCACATCGACAAAAATATATTTGTAATACTTTTAGTGGATGAAGTATTACATTTCCAAAATTCATGTTACGTTATTTTGGTGTTGATATTTAAGTAGTAGTAGTGGCCGCGTTTCTCAAGATTGACAACCTCAGTTAAGTTTTGGGGATGTTTTAAGAGGGACGCTGCTGCTCATCCCTCGACCAGGTTCTCTTAGTTGCCTCTTAGCCCAGTAGGGTCTTATTCTATGCTGGGACCAAACGGCAATTTAATATCACCATATTTTACCAGAGGGAGACTTTGTACAAAAGTCGATTGCTTGGGTACCTCTCTCCCATTCGTGTTTCTACTGTGAGGCAGTGTTTGCATGGCTGTGTTTTAGTGTGAAGGATGGGATATGGCGTGAATTTACAGGGTACAGAGGAATAACACCTGAGTCCTCAGGAATGGCAACGCATGGGGGTATCATGGGCGAAACAGTATACTCTGTTATGTTCATGGTACTGCTCATGTCTATAGGCGACGATTACCACTTTCCATCAGGAAGACCGTCAGTTTGTTTGCTATTCTAAGTGGTATAAAAAAAAATCACCGTGAGAGATTACTAAAATACATTTTTGTAAAATCACACCTACATATTATACATAGGAAATACACAGACCAATACAAACTGTCGTACCTACTGATGAAGATCGAACTCGCGACTATCGAAAGGCGAAGCAGTATGCTTAACCACTATACCTACAAGGTCATTAAATCGTATCCTGTAGTATACGTAGATCACCCAGTACACGAGATACATGCTCTTATTCTTACTGCGGCAGTGTTGTTTGTAATTCTTGACTGCTAATTTAGCTTTTAAAAAGAAGTAGGCCTTAGTAAATGTGTTAATGTAATTTGTATCACTAAGTTCACGAGTGTGTTAATTTTACCCGGATATTTATTCCTATAACTAGCTTTTTCCCTGCTATATCGTATGTGAATTTCAAAAATAGAAAAACTAATATAGCCACTTCTAGATAGCGAATAAAGATAAAACACACTCCAGTTTTGATATAAAATCTTTAGAAACACAACAGTGAATGTCGCATTTAATTTGGTGTAGTATTTTTCCATATAATCTCGTATATATATCATCATCATCACCATCATTTCAGCCATTATTCGTCCACTGCTGGATACAAACCTCCCCCATAGACTGCCATAAAGAACAGTACTGAGCTACCTGCATTCACTGACTACTAGCAATGCATTTCAGGTCGTCACTTCATCTAATGGGGGGGGGAGAAAATTTATATGTATATATATAAGTTTTCTCTGTCTACCCTATATTACAATAAATAGCCTGCGTATATTGACTTTATCCAGTTGCAATTTTAATACATTATAAAGAAAATAGTTGATTATATCCGTCTCTTATAGGAAAATACAGGTGCCTGAGGAACAATAATGGATGTTCTTATTATATATATTTATATTATACTTATATTTTATTGAATTTTTTTGTTTTTAGTCTAAAAACCAATTTTTATATAAGAAAATTTACTAATACTTCTCTAACTTGTACCACAAAAATCAAAATTATAATTTTTGACTCAGAAAAAGTTATAAATTGCTCAACTGGTAGTCACTCTAACTCATGTCATATTGACTTTTATTATCTAGTACTTTTATTAAAACAAATACCAGTGCAAGCTCGGCAAAATAATAACAGTCCGTAGTAAAACTAATTGTTTACGAGGTGCGCCGCCGCAAATGTACCTAATGGAAATGTTAGATTCGTTTAATATTAAATTTTATAACAACTTCGTTGTATTTATTTATAGCGACGTTATGTCTTAAGTCGGGTCTTTAATTGACAGTGATGTAAATGACTGCACTATAGTTTATGGTCACTGAGTAATATTTTATACAAATAGTTTTAATTAAAATTGTTGATGTATCAATTTTTTTTTACTGCATTATTGCTGTCGTAAAATATCCAGTAGTTGATTGAATTAGTTCGTCATCGTCATTAACTTGATGACCTCGATGGTATAGAAGTTTAACATACAGCCATATATTTAAACGTTTACGATTCACTGATTATCTTATCGTTTCTTCCTCAACGGGAAAAATAAAAAAAAACAGCTCAAAATTGGCAAAGAAGGCACATAATAGAATTTAAAACTTCCTCCTTTTATAAATCCTTCAAAATTTATATTTTACATTTATATGTGAAAATAAGTTTGTGTTATATCTCTTAGTATGTTAATTGCTTAACCAATCACTATGTAGTTTGGTATACAGATACTATTTGGGATAAAGAAGAATATAGGCAACTTTTTATCCAGTTCAGTGAACATATCCCAGTCACATGGACGAAATAGCAGATAAAAGGTAGTTAATATTTTACTAAACTGGGTATTTATTATCTTGCGGAAGTCCATATCACTGGTTATTAAACATGTTGGTAGCCACACACATACTAATGGTAGCAGAATTAAACAAAATAATTTTAATGAAATAACCAGTAAAAACTAGTTGCCTTTATAAAAGAGTAGGTACTTAAGTTGTAACTATACTTATTATTTTTGTAAATAAATAATATTGTAAATGATATTTCGTCATATTATGCCAAGATAAATACTAATAACAACTGAAACTTATCACATTAGAACCAAGCCATTATGAACTATTTATAGTTATAGTCTATTAGATAGTTGAATTTAATAGTTTCTCTTAATTTATAGTATTTAAAATAAACTGGAACAATATTATCTTATCTAAAAATTTTAAAAATTATTTACAGATAAAAAATTTCTGTGAGATCACTGCCAGCTGGTAGGGTGCCTAGGATACTTGCTGCATTTCCACGCTGAATAGCAATGGAAATGCGTTGACCAAAGTATAGGCCAGCCTTCTGGTCACCAGAGGTTTCCACCAGCCGGCGTGAAATCTCTTTGAAAAGCTTCATTGCCTCGGGGCCCCACGGACCCAGAGTTTTCCAAACGCCGCAAATATATATCCATTTCCAAGGGATGAATATTTATGAATTCCTGGTGTGTTGCGGCAACCATCTTGGACGTACTTGGAAGGTGAGACGGCGCCACCGTTAAGGTGAAGTCCCATACAAGCGGACGTATCTTTACCAAGGACATACCGTCAGGTCTCTTGCCGTCGTCACGTATCAAACCAGGAGGTTCTAGAATACGCCTGCGGTGACAAGAGCCCGACGGAGAATGTCATTAATAGCTGAGTGGCGCAGCAAGCGCCCAGCACTCTTGAGGCAAGATAGGCCATGGTGTCCCAAGGCACTGACGTTGTCCCCACACCTGCAGTGGTGGGGAGCATTCGTTTTGGCCCCCAATCTGAGAGAGATTGAGAGTCTAAACGTTGTGTTATCCAATAATGTTCCGATATGAGGTGAGGGAATTGTGTGTAGCCATAGGCCAGATTCCCACTTGGACACCGCGAGTAGACGGGCGCTTTCAGCGGAGTTCTGGGAT